TCCCGAGCTCCGTTTTTGCTGGAAGTGGGCCAGTCCTTCTCTGTTTCCAGGGTGGCCCCACGGGCCAGATCTAAGCACCCTGTGGGCCAGATCCAGCCTGCGGGCCTTGAGTTTGACACCCCTGCTCTAAATCCTGCCAACTGTTCTGAATAGTCAACTTTTCTGAGACATTTTAGTATTGAAGAGTAGGGGGAAAATCAATTCTTCATAGATGGACGCTTTTCAGTTTTGCCAATGCATCTAACCATTCTAACATTCACTATTATTTTACCTCCTCCTTCTTCCTAATAAACATTTTAAGGGTGTTCAAAGTGTTTTAAGGGTGTGCAAAATAGTTTATAAACATTGTTTGTTTTGATCCTTCCTATGACTCAGGAAGGGAGTTCACACTGAGAGAAGGTAATTTCCTTAAAACTGTGACAGCAAACTTGTAACTCTCCAGAGGTTGATTAATTACAGGTGGTCCTCAACTTATGGCTGCAACGGAGCCTTAAATTTATGTTGCTAAGTGAAACATGTGTTAAGTGAGTTTTGCTTCATTTTATGACTTTTCTGGCCCCAGTTGCTGAGTGAATCACTGCAGTTGTTAAGTTAGTAACATAGTTGTTAAGTGAACCTGACTTCCCTGTTGAATTTGCTCATCAGAAGGTCACAAAAGCTGATCACATGACCCGAGGACACGGCAATCAACATAAATATGAACCAGTTGCCGAGCATCTGAATTTTGATCATATGACCATGGGGATGCTACAACGGTCGCAAGTGTGAAAAATGGTAATAAGTCATTTTTTGCACTGCTGCTGTAACTTTAAACCGTGATTAAATGAACTGTTGTAAGTCGAGGACTACCTGTACAGTTCCAAATATTGTTCCACAAGTGAACAAGGCAGAAATGGACTTCTAGAGTTTATTTCAGCAGCACCTAAAGGACTACAGTTATCTTCTCACCTGGATTAAGGCCATCAGAACATGTCATGTCGTACCAGTAAGAAATCACAAGCACAAAACTCACATCCTAACCAGTGGTGAAATCCAGATTTTTTTTACTACCAGTTCTGTGGGTGTGACTTGGTGGGTGTGGCTTGGCTTGGCTTGGCAGGAGAAGGATACTGCAAAATCTCCATTCCCTCCCCACTCCTGGGGGAAGGATATTGCAAAATCTCCATTCCCACCCCACTCTGGGGCCAGCCAGAGGTAGTATTTGCCAGTTCTCCGAACTACTCAAAATTTCCACTACCGGTTCTCCAGAACCTGTCAGAACCTGCTGGATTTCACCCCTGATCCTAACCCATTTATATCACAGCCATTCTATTTCCCTGTACAAAAAGAAGGTGGAAATGCCATGATGACACTCAAACCACAATTTCTTTAAAAATATGTTATTTGTGCTTAATGCAAAAGCTTAAAACACTCACATGGAGTGAGATGCCTCTACTCATTTACACCCTCTAGAATTCTCTCTGTTTTAATAAAATCCCTCACTTTTCTTAACTCATTTCAGATTTTGATTTCTTCTTCCTCGCTCATCCCACCATATCCCATCAATGCAAACCACTCAGCTAATTTTGCAGGAAGAGAAAGAGGCTATTCTCCTTAAGCTAATTAAGCCTGATTCCAGTTAAATCCAGGAGCATATTACGAGTGGCTTCACGCATATTTTGTTTTGTTTTTTGCAAACTGGAGCCCGTTCATGACTAAAGCCTTTGAAAACACGACCCTTTGAGCCTACTGAAAGGCATACCTCAAGCAAGGGCTCACACGAATCTTACTGGATCCTTCAAAGAAACGCCTGATCAATATCCTGAATTTTTCAAAGGTTAGAGCAGATCGACAATAAAGAGGTTGGAACGATAGATAAAATGCTGGAGTGATGCTCAAAAGAAAAGCCGAGAAGAATCAGAATGCAATTCTGCAACGGCGTCTTATCGACTAGAATCCTTTCCCTCCCAATTCCAGATCATTGTTGATTGTTTAATAACATTCAAGAACTGTCACTCCCATCATCATATTAATGATACAGGCCCTGGAAAAACAACCCCAACATCAGATTGCAGCCTCCTCAAGCTTATAATCAAACCTTGAGTGGGACAAAACAGGGTCAGCCCTATCATTAAACAGTCAAGCAACTGAGGCAACAGCAGGATTAATTCCCTTTGATTCCTTCTGCATACCCAACTCACTGTTTCCCTCACTTAGAAGATGAGGTGAGCCCGCAGCTTGTAAATTGGCCTGTTGCCCTCAGGCATGGTGGCAGATGCTAATTCCTGAAGAATCTACTGGCAATTGCTGGTAAGGGTACTATCCTGTCCTTTATTTCAGGGTAAAGGAAAGGTGGTGAAATAGGTATAAACTGACTCTATGGAATTAAGGAACATAGCAGATGTGATACAATAGCAATAACACTTAGATTTATATACCATCCCATAGTGTTTTTCAGCATTCTCTAAGCAGTTTACAGAGTCAGCATATTTTTTTTTTAATTTGATTTATATGCCGCCCTTCTCCGGAGACTCAGGGCGGCTTACAATGCGCTAAGCAATAGCCTTCATCCTTTTGTATATTTATACAAAGTCAGCTTATTGCCCCCACAAACTGGGTCCTCAATTTACCTACCTTAGAAAGGATGGAAGGCTGAGTCAACCTTGAGCCTGGTGAGATTTGAACCTGCAGCAATTGCAGGCAGCTGGTCTTAATAACAGGGTGCTTTAGACCACTGTACTACCAAGGCTCTTTTGCCCACAACAATCTGGGTCCTCGTTTTAACTATATCGGAAGGATGGAAGGCTGAGTCAACCTTGAGCCGGTCAGGATTGAACTCCTGGCAGTGGGCAGTGTTAGTCCGCAATGCTGCGTTCTAACCACTGTGCCACCAGGACTCCTTTAGGACTGTGATCACTATAGGTCATCCAGTTTGTGTTAGCATGTGTGTACCTGTGTGCCTATGTGCAGATGTGTATAAGAGAGAGGTAGAGTAGAATAATTTTCCTGGTGTAAATATAAATCAGTGTTAAAGTATGTCACAGGAAATATAAATATGCTAACATAAGGACAAATATATAGGTTTTTTGTGGTACAAGAATGACATTCGGAAGCAATTTAAATCTCAATTCAAAAATGCTTGAAAGAGAGAATGTTCCTTAAATTAAGCTTGTCTCCTGTTGGATTACGTGGATAAAGTCAAGATGATTTTATCTGTGCCAATATGGAAGTGCTTTTTTCATTGCCTTGTTCCAGGATGTTTTCCCACCATCTGAATCTAGCATTTCAGGCAGATGATCTAACCAAGTGCTAACTAGGCTTGACCCCTGCCTAATTTCTCAGCCCAGACAGCATTGACCAAGTACTCTCATCTGTTGAGATGTTAAGACCCACACAGCTCAATATGGTGTTGGTTGTGGTTTGGTGCCTTTGAATTGGTTTTGACTCCTAGTAACTACATCTGGGGTGGGGAACTACTATGGCCCCTTTATGGCCTATAGACTTCAAATCCCAGAATCCCATGCTGGGTCAGGAATTCTGGGAGTTGAAGTCCAAAGGTTATAAGAGGCTATAGTTCCGCACTCCTGAACTATATGGATGACCGAGTTGCCTGCTGTAAAGGAACTGGATGTTGACAACGGATGGTGGTTGAGTGGGTGGGGCTGAGGGGGCGTGGTCCCATCCATGCAGTTTTCTTGGCAGAGGGTTTTTTTTGAAGTGGCTTGCATTACCATCTTCCTAGAGAAAGAATAATTAGCCCAAAGTAACCCAACTGCTTTGGACCCAAAATACACTGCTCAAAAAAATAAAGGGAACACAAGCAGAAGACATCCAAGATCTGAATGAATGAAACAGCCTTATTAAATACTTTGTTTGTTACATACAATAGTTTTGTGTTCCCTTTAGTTGTTTGAGCAGTGTATAAACTACCGTATGTAAAGAACAAAGTATTTAATAAGGCTATTTCATTCATTCAGATCTCGGATATCTTCTGCTTGCGTTCCCTTTATATTTTTGAGCAGTATAGGATTAGACACCACAATTTTCTGATTTCTAGCCTAATACCTTTAACCATAATACCAAAATGGTTCTGTCAGAAGGGTTACACATCTGTAAGTTTAGCTCTGATGCCAATGGTACTTTCAGCAATAGTATTTATTTATCTATTATTTATTTTATTTATTTTTACAAATAACTCAAGGTGGCAAACCTATCTAACACACCTTCCTCCTCATATTTTCCTCACAACAACAACCCTGTGAAGTAGGTTGGGCTGAGGAAAAATAACTGGTCCAAAATCACACAGTTGGTTGTTGGGGTTCAGGTGGGACTTGAACTCATGGTTTCCCATATCTGAGCTAAATGTGAGACAAGTCTACCTTCCTCAGGCATTTTTCAACAACTACTTCCAAATAAATACCGTGTGTCTGAAATCAAAGATAAAACTCATATAGCGTATCTGTTTAATGGAGGAAAAACATCATGTGGCTATACTTCCAAGATATTTAACCTCAAACTCTCATCTTCTCCAAATTGGGCAATAAGGAGGGGATGATGGGAATTGCAACCCAGCATCTGGGAGAACATGCAACCTTCCCCTTCGCTGCCCACAGTGCTATTCTGTAAACATCTGTCTCACCATAGGTAAATATTTACAACTCTGTTGAAAAATCCTATGTATGGGCAGTTTTTAAAGGCAGAAATGGAATTCACAGAAATACATATTTTATATAGAAATATACAAAGAAACTAAAGTTCTGCAATAATAACAACAATAACGACGTGGGCCGGAAAGCATTGAGCACGGGAAATATTTTATTTTGGAAAATGAGAAGAGCCGGAAATGCAACATCCAGTCCACTCTTTTAAGATCCTGCTCAGGATCTCCTACTGATCCCCATCCCAAGGGCTACGGTTTTTTTGCCGCCTCACGCATCCAACCTACGCGTCTGTTAAGCCGGACCTACTTTCAGAAGCCGCAGACTCCCGTAGATCCCCGGATCCCAGCTTCTCCCACTTACTCTCTGGGATCCTCCCCGGATCTTTGGGAAGACGCGGCCGCCGCTGCGCCGTTGCCACTGTCTGACCAGCAGGGGGCTCCTTCGCCCCGTCGAACGAAGTTCCGCGTGGGCGTCAGGCCCAGGCGAGCGGGCAGGCGGGCTGCCACGCCGCTGGGATTGGAAGCGAGGCGTGGGAAGTCAAATGGAAGTAGTCGCCTCCCCGCGCGGGTGGGGGGGGGAGGGAGGAGGGAGGGCGCGGCTCCCCCGCGATTTTTCCGCCAGTAGAAGCTTTGCTCCGCTTCTCCAGGAGTTCAGCTGCCCCTGCCTGTTGCTATGATTCCCCACTAGGGGTTGGCTACCGAGCGGGCCGCCCTCCCCCAACGACGGGCTGGCTTGTTAGGTTAATCGCAACACGCGGCTCGGGAGGAACAGGATGGAAAGTTGCCAGTTGAACACGCACCTAATATATATACATGTGAATCAGCAGGTGTCTGTTGACGTTGAGGGGAAAAGGCGAGGGAGGCACCCAGGCAAGTGGAAATGTGGTATATACCAATGCGCGCCTCAAAGCCTTCGGCTGCTGTGTCAGTTCGAATTATAGCCACACGCGAGTGATTGATTCGTCCACTTTGAGTGAAATTATGTCCTTTAGGTAGCAGATACTAGTCTTTTGTAGTATCTAACACTTCCCCAACCTCTTTTCGCAGTATCTAGTCTTCATGTAGTGTCGACTGCGGGAAAACTGCAGGGCACAAGGTTGGGAAAGGCTGCTCTAAGAGTAACGACTAACAACATTCAGCAACGGCAAAAACGTTTGCACAACTCTCGACGCAAAGACTATTTATACAGACTTCTAAAAAGTGGGACTGAAAATCCGGCCTCTCCCAGATTCGCCGCGGAGCGGATGCGAGGATTTGGCTCCAGCCCTTTATAGTAACTGTTACCGCGCTTCCACCAGCTCCGTTAAGAGCACGTTTGAACCCAAACTGAGACGGGTTCATTTTACGATGGGTTTAGATTTTTCGGGGACAAACCCGGGGAATAATCGGATTAAGTAGCGCGGTGCGTTAGGCAGCTACGTAGTCTATGCCCGCGGGTCTTTCCCTGGCGCGGGAGAATTCTGCTCGCCGCTGACCGGCCTGGGAAGGCGAGAGAGGTTGAGTAGCCCGAAACTGGCAAGGAAGAAACGACAAGGGGTGGGTAGGTTGATCTTCTCTCGCTTAAGGGCGTCCGGAGGCAGAGGCGGCCACTGGACAACAAGACAAAGGGTTAAAACTATGTACCGAGCCTTAAACTGCCCAGAGAGCAGGCAGTTTTGAGGCACCCCTCAAAACAAGGGGTGCTCTTCATTGCCAGACAGCGAACTGCCTGCCTGCCTGTCTGTTTCTCTCTCTCTCTCTCTCTCTGTGCTCCTTGTGTGTTCATGAGAAAAGGGGGGGGTGTTTCTCTCCCCACCACGCCCCACAGTGTCGCCTCTCCTTTGCAGACTCGCCTCCCTTCCCTTCTGCCTCAGCTCCGCCCGCCATGCGTCTCTGGACGCTCTGGGCTGGCCTTCAGCGTCTGGCCTCTCGCTGGTCCGAGACTCTCCGGCCAATGAGATGCCGTCGACGCCATCTCTTGCCAAGAGCTTGGCCTCTCTGCGGAAGGGCCTTTCTTTTTGGGGGGATGAGGGGCTGCGCCCAGAGCAAAGGGCTGGGCTTTGGATCTGGGTTTGGCTTCCCACCTGTCGCTCCAGACGCTTACATTTTCGGCCCCTGTTGTGATTTCTTGTTAGAAGAAAGACTTGCTTATCGTTCAGTTTCAAGGTGAAACCTGGTTGAATATTGAAATTAAAAGGATGTTCCTGAGCACACAAAGAGTTTTGGCTTGGTTTTTTTTTTTTCCTTCTTGTGAGAATACTGTAATCACAAAATAATCAGATTTTAACATGTAGCTCAGGAGGGCCTAGAAGGTAAACAGGCTTGAGATGGGTACTCATCGATCTAACAATTATAGAAATCACAATCCTTCCAATTAAGAAAGAACATTAGCCTGTCTATCAGCAGATGGCAGCACCTGTGCTGTCATGGTTATTTTTGGATGGGAGACCAGAAGAAAACTCCAGGGACTAGACTGGATGGGGAAATCTAGAAAATCTGGGAGAAAAACCAGTAAACCATTTCTGCCTAGCTCCAAAATAATATAACTTAAAAACTCTTCATGGTCACCAGAAGGAACTCACTCTAGCTCATCATGCCAGGGTAATTAACAGCATCAGAAGAGCATAAGTCATTGCTAATCTTGCATATCTTGCTCTCATAGTCTGGTTAATCCTCTGTTTCCCAGGAGATATAAGTATCAGCTTATAGATATTTCAGCATCCTTCTGAAAGGCAAGACATGTTTTAAGTTGCTGCCCTTTCAACATTTGAAGAAAAAAAAAAAGAAGCAAAAATCTGTTAGGATTACTCCCAGCAAAACTTTACCTAAATTTACGTCAGATGCATATGTGCATAGTTGTGTTCTCAAACATGCATCCAACTTCTTGGAACCTATGGATACTGTTAAAGGGAATGTGCTAAGTTCATGGCAAGTTCATGGTTTCATCTGTATTTTTCTTTGGCAAGAAGAACTAATTGAGACACCGAATTCCACACCAAGCATTGTTGCACCTTGTTTCCTAAAGCATTCTAAAGCACTAGTGCAAGATCAGCTGACATTACTGATTCACTATTCTAGCTTTTTTTTTAAAAAGGCTGTTTGGCAATTGTCTTCTGAGAGAGTCATGCAGCAGATAGTCCTCAAATTTTATGTCTTTTTATAGGGTATGAATGCACTGCCTGTTCCAACTGGCTTCCTTCCCCCCTCCCCTTTCTCAAAAGAAATATTTGATTCCTGAACTATATAACCAAAATATGTAATTCCACCATAAAGAAAATCAGCTTCCTACAAACATTCCTGTTGCTTTATCCCCTTTAATATTTTTAAACGGACAAATCAAATATTCTTCAGTTACCTTTATGCTAGTGATTAATAATTAGTCTTTCCTAACCAGTCATTTTGCATATTATTGATTAATTCTTCCTTTGCGCTATATTAAGTGTGCCCAACTTTCACTGCAGTAATAATGCTAATAGAGAATTAAAATTTACTATCTTCCTTACAGAAATATAAAAGAACCTTGACCAAGAAGCAATAAACACAGTTTGGGGCGGGGGTGTCTTTCTCTCCCTAACTCTCCATTCATTGATATGTCTCTACAGCTTATCACTTCCAATTTAGAGGTTCAACTTTATAGACATGCACACATATCTTGGTGCTTTTTTTTCCTGGGATAATTTATCTAGAAAATAATGGCACTCCCTTTCCCTGTAATTACTAACAAGGCTGGGATCTCCACCTCCTGTGTAGAATAATTCTAAAAAACCTGGCAGTTGTCTATAAGAAAATGAAAACAATATAGACAGTATGTGAGAGACTTACCATGCATTAAAATTAATAAACCACTGTAAGCAATATTTCCTGTGCAACTCAAAATAAGAAGTGTCTAAATTGAATCCCTTTCCTGGATGATCAACAGATTTTCCTCCTCTAGGACTGACAAATAATCCCTCTTAACTTAAATTTGATTTAGCTCTGTGTTAACTTCCCATTTTGTGACTAGGAAGAAACTCATGGCTTGTGTGGGGGATGGGCAAGCTAAGCATTGTTCTCCATATTGATCTCCAGGAAAGGAGTACTCTGCAAAGAATGTCTCAGCATTGTGCAGAGTATTGTTAACACACAACTTCCTGATTAACGCAAATGAAAGAAGGAATCTAATTTTAAAACAGGAGGAAATGGAGATGTTCCTGAAGACACCAAAAGAAGTGTACATGCCAAAGAAAAAACACCTTACTAAACAAATATGTAGAAATCCCCGTGCTCATCCTGCAAGAACATTTGCAAAGTTGTGTTCTGCCTGTAAACCTCGCCACCAAGTCTTTTCCATACCTTTTGCAGCAGCTTTGCCTGGGAGGACTCAAGGCTGACCTGCAGAGGGCAATCGTTGGACACGAATGATAACAAATGTAGCTGGGGAGATTAGGCTCAGACACGTGGTTCAGACCCCGGACTTCTGCGTAGGTAGGCAGCGGTGCATAATTAATGGATATTGAAACAAAAGATTGGGGTGGGGGGAATGTTTGCCTTTAGGCTTCATTTTCAGTGGCTAATCTGATTCATAACTGTAAGGTTTTTCTAAAAAGATTAACCTAAACTTTCAAGAGACACATCCAGTTAACTCTAACATTATCCTAAACACTTCATTGTTTACCGGAACATTTAAACTTCATCCATTGGATTCCCCCCCCCCCAACCTTTAATTCTCTGCAAATCAAATAGGGCTAAGTAAAAAAAAAATGACAAGAATTTTCATTACTTCAGCAATTGACAAGAGAAACATGTAGACTTTACATAAGAAGGGTACACTCCCCCCTCCCTCCCCAACAAAGAAAAAAGAAAATCAAGGACCACGTTCCACTTTTTAGTAATAAATTTGCAGTTCACTTTCTGTCTGGCTATTGTCTGTTTTTCCGCTGGGTTCATCTTTACCTTTCAGCACCACCGTGGTGGACAGCGACTTGCTTATTTGCATACCGTTTTCCTTGCTTCCCCCTGTGTTGTTTGTCTGTGAAGAAATGCGGCTTCACACGCAAATATATTTGTGCCGTGTGTTTATGAAAAGACTCTTCGGATGAATGCATTACTAGGTTGTGGAAAAAACAACCCATTCCCCATTTATAACGTGTTTACCGGAGAGGAGGAAAGAAAACAACAGCAGACTGCTTTATTCCGTCTCACTTTTTTTTTCTGCATCTTTTATACATTTAGACGTCCACCCAGGACGGACTGAAAGCCGGAAGCAAACTCGAGTTTCTCTCTCTCTCCCTCTCCCCCCCTCTCTCTCTCCCTCTCCCTCTGTGTGTGTATATGCGCGTGTGTATATGGGTGTTGTTGGCAGATGGAGTAAATGCAGTCTTAAAACACATGCACATACGCGCGCGCGTGCACACACAGACACACGGTTCCTTCCCCTCCCTCTTATGTCTCCGTCTCAATAAGAGGGTGGAAAACTCATATTTAATGAATCTTTGTCCAAATTTCAATGAGAAAAAATGTCCTTTTCAAAAAAACCATTTCCCTGGGGTGTTGGCGGAGGCAGGGTGGGGAGGGATGGGTGGGGGGGAGAAAAAGTCTAAAAGTCTGTTGGCATAAAACTGACTTTCCATTGATCCCAGTGAAATTAATAGCATGGCGTTGTTGAAGACACCGTCTGCATGTATTTTGTTCACATAGGAGATAACACTGAGATCTTTTTGTAAAGAAAAAAAAATGATATGAATTCCAAGGGATCTTAATTATTTTTTAAAAAACAGAATCTGAAACAAGCTTATTTACAGATGTTTATGGTGTATGGTTGTGTGTGCAGGAGAAAGAGGGAGATTTTAGAGAGAGAGAGAGAGAGAGTCAAAAACATTTCACTCGCGCACACACACACACACCAGTCCTGTTAAACGGTTCTGCTTGGCACATGTTTGTTATCAGAGAGGGAGGCAGAGAACAGTGAGCCATTTTTCTTAGCTTGTTTTTGGGACTGCACGTTTACATGGCACCACCCGGCAGTGGCCCTTTCCCATTGGGAAGTGCCTTATGAAGATTGCACGTCAAATCTTCCTCAATTAATCCACCATTAGCACATTTGGGATCTAGTGCTTGATGGCTTAACAGCAGCAGTTTGAGAAACTATGTGCTGGTCATTCCCAATTAAGCACAGCTCGGAATGAACTCACCAAGACCAACCTTTCCTGAGCTGTCAGTGACTCCCGTTTTTCCTTATTTTAACATTTGTATGTAGTGGCAGGCGACAGATGGTGTAGATCAGATCGATTTGATTGCATTAGGCGATTCCCCCCCCCCTCTCTCTCTCTCTCTCTCTCTCTCTCTTTCACCCTCCTCTTCTCTCTCTCTCCCTTCTCCCTCCCACCCCCATCATCACTTCTTTTCTGGAAACCCGCAGCATCTGAAAGGCGATCACTGGGGACTTGGAGAGCACCAGCATCCGCCGAGGTGGGAAGCAGCAGAGCACACAAAGCCAGCCAGAGGCGCTGAGGTCTCTTTCCCAGGGCTTGTTAACACTATAATCCGGCGCCAGGAGGGAAGAGAAAAGAAAATCAGCTTTCCATTGCCCAGAGCCTATTTCCCTAGGTCATCAGATGCCTCCCTGGGTTTTATACACAGTTGGAGTTCAGCTTGAAACCGGGACTTAAAGGGTAAGCGCCTCAATAGATGTGGATTTCTGGGAGCTGCATGGGGAGGAAGTGGCGAGGAGTGACCCGGCTCCTGAAAAGGAGGCAGCACTTTAAGCAAGATAAATAATTCTTTTGATTAACCGCCTCCATGCACTTCCATCCTATCCTGTGTGCTCCAGAGTTCTTATAAGTCCGTAGTACTGGTGACTTCTATTCCTAGTCTTTCTGCTTTGAGTGACAACCCCATATGCAGTGCTCAAGCTTCATTCTTCGTTGCTGACAATGGTTTACGCTTTTTCCCTCCTACCCTTGCCGCCCCAAATCGGCACTGAGACGCATTTGACATTTTAAGTGGAAGCTTTCCTTTCCCATTTCGATGACAATCAGGAGCTTTCGAAGGGCTCAATCCCTCCAGTTATTACGGTAGGAGGGAAGGAAGATTCTAATCAACATGGCTTTCGATGAACAAAGGTAGTTAATGCTGAAGCTGAGCGTCGCTCCGGGCACCACAAAGCTGCAAAAGGTAGAGACGGAGCAACAAAAGCGCCAGAGATGGTTCGTTCTTACCGTGGGTTGGCGTGGAGTGATATGTGCGTGAGTGTGTCTGGGGTGAGAGTTGTGGGGTGGGGTGGGGTGGAGAAGGAGCCGACAGTTTAAGCAGGTTTGAATTGAATATGCGCCCAGAGGCAAGCAGTCTGATAGGATGGCGCGTTCTCGTAAGTCATCCTGCCCTGCTGAAGGAGCTGCCGCGCTTGTTGGCTTTAGGGGCTCAGCAGAGCGCTCGCTAGTGCGGCAGGAAAAGGGAGTCTCCAAGGACGGCGCTGTCCATTCGCCCCGGTGCTGAACTGTGCGCGACCATTTTGGTAGGTGCTCTCGGGCTGGAGAGCCATGCCTGGTCATCATCGCTGCATTGAAACGAGAAGCCAGGCACGATTGGGTAAGCAAGTTTGGAAAAGGCACTTTACGAGCACTGGTGGATAGCAAGAGCTGTTTTGGAAACCCGGGGAAGAATTGGCAAAGTTCCTCCGTAGTCCAGAACCTGGGCTTCTGTGAGCGTCTCTGTGTGTATTTTCTTTTTTGCACCAGGACAACAATATTACTATCTGGAAAAGTTTGGGTGTTTCCACTTAGCCTTTAGTTCCCCCTGCACTTTTTTTCTTTTTCTTTCTTTCTTTGTCCTCCCCTCTTCCCGGAAGAATTTTTTTGGGGTGGGTTGCTTTTCAAATTCAGGATAAACGAGAAAACACATGAGTTCTGTTCGCAAATTAGAGAAGCGCGGACTTCTCTCTCAAGCTGTTTTTGTGGATGTGAACTGAAGGGACAGATTTGCTTCTATCCTTTTTCCCTCCTCGGTTTTAAGCTCTCTCTGGTCAGCGTGTCAACCTCCCCGTTTCTAGGAAGCGGAGAAAAAAAAAGAATCTGCATGAACCGATGAGGGTTTTTTCTTTCTTTCTCATAGCTGACATTTTTGTAAGTCAGGCACAGACTTCTTTCTATGGCTGGAAAAGAGACTGAGCGATGTGGCTGGAAATTGTGAGGAGGGGGGAGGAAATGTGGAAGTTATTTTCTGTGACCTGTGCGTGGTTTTCAATTTTGGGGGAGTGTGTGTTTTTAGAGATCGTTTGGGCGGTGGAAGTATACGTTTTAACAGCATCTCTTCTGGTTTGGCTCCTTGCAATGAACTGACATTAAGGGCAGAAGCGGGTACAAACGGTAGAGATCTGGGATGGAATTAATGCTAACATGTTGTGTGAATGTCCCTTGAAATCTGATCTACAAGCTCGACAGTTGCCAAGCTGGTTGGTTCGGCAGAGGCGTTGCAATAACTCTTGCTTAAGGGACGAGGGCAGGACCCACACCCAGTTTCTTAGCGGTGCTTCCTTGCATTTGACACACGGAATAGAAACAGCCCAAAGTTAGGGTTCGGTGGGGCTGATTCCCCCCCCTTCTTTTAGGAAGAATGGAACAATGCATTCTTATTTGGGCACCGACCATAATGGGCTTTACAAACAAAGACTTTTCTACTACGGCCAACCACTCCAGGTCTTGATTGTGGAGAATACAAACCATTTTGGCAATAAAGGAAATAAAACTTTTTTTAGAAAAAGAAATCTGGGTGGATTCTTTAGAATATGGAGAATTGGTAAGAGAGAGAGAGAGAGAGACAGACAGACAGACAGAGAGAGAGATTTTGGGGTGGGGTGGGCTGCTTGGTTAAGCGTGCTCTTTGAAGACATGCTGGCCAGATAGGGAGGCATGGGGAGCACCTCTCGGATGTGCTATCACTCCTTTGACAGGCGATTTCAAAAGTGCTGCCGTATGGAGATACCAAAAGGGGCACGTGGGAAAAGGGATTTTTTTTTTTTTTAAGAAAGAAAAAAATGCGCCCTTCATACACAGAGTCAGGCACGCTCCTCAACTCGGAAGGGCTGCTTTCCCGGGAGCTTAGCTTCTGCGAGCAAGGCCTGAAGCAGAGAAGCGCTAGTACTATTCCTCCGACAGCTCCGTGGGAGCTTTTCAGTAAGTGGCAACAGCTGAGAGTTATTTGTTTTCCTCTGAGCCGGGACCTCTCCAAGCGACTCACTGAAATTCTCCCAGGCGTGCCTGGTTTCCTTAATCAGATTTTTCACTTCTCCGCTTTCTCCCCAGCTCACCTAAGCAAACAAGCTGGGTTACATTTGTGTGCTTAACTGTGCCTCTCTTCTACAGAAACCGCGCTGGCTGCCGCTCACAGCCGCTCAAATACAACCTAGGGAGAAATCTCCGAGAGGGAAGCGGATGGCGAGCAAACCCGAGAGAAGAAGTCGGAAGTTGGCCAGGTATGCTGGAGAAGTCAATGGGTCTAAGGCGGTTAGGAGGTACGCAGAGGGCTGCATGCGTGGCCGTGGTGTTTTTTTTTTTTGTTTTTTGTTTTTTTTGCATGCAGAGGCTGCACTCCTCGTGCTCACTGACGCGTTCTGTGCGAAGATTCGGTCTGCGTGGGTTCCTATGAACTCCGTACGGTTGTGAGTGTGTGCGCGTGAGTGTGAATGAATGACACACCGCTGCCACGAGTTCGTTCCTCCGCTCCATCCTAGAGGTCCTCCGACGGGAGTAGCAGTGCACGCCTGTGGCTTTGGTGGAGACATGCTTGGTGCGGCTCGCTGTCAATCCGCGCGCGTTTGTGTCTTGCCTGACTTCAGCTGCCACCGGTCCAGGAGCCCGCATGTGCCTGTGATGTGACGAGCGTCCGCGCTTGCCAGGGTCTGAATCCGGCGGACTGCGTGCGGCGTTTGCCTGCCTACGCCTCCTGTGCCTCAGCCTCTCTGCCCCGCCGATCGCTCCCAGGGACTGCCTCGAGCCCATCCTTGACGGCTGCCTCTTCTCCTTTGCCTTGCCAGGCCGTGGGAGCCCAGCAGCCTTGCATGGATTTGAGATCACCGCTCGTCGGCGCTTCTCTGTTGGATTCTCCTCTTCCTCCTTCCTTTCCTACGGGCCACAGGACGTACAGTTGTGGATTTATTGCCGCGGTGCGTGCAGCTCCAGCCGCCTCTTCGCCGCTGCCGCCGCCTCTTCTTCTTCCTCCTCCTCCTCTTCCTCCGCCGCCGCCGCCACCAGCAGCAGCTTTCTGACTCTCTTCGGTGACGGGTATTCTTGGGTGGATAATACGGATTACGTTGTTATTGCTTAAGAATACGCGTAGTCGAGGAGAGTACTCGCGGCAGGCGGGGGCGACCGCCCCCCCACCCCCAGTGGTTCCTTAAACGGCTCTAGTTGCCAAGGTAGCGCATCATTTTCTCTTCTTTTCTTTTTCTTTTGCTCCTCTTCTTCTCTTTTTGTGGTACCTCGCAACCTCCGGCTGTATAAGATCTCTCTCCCCCCACCCGCCACCTCTCAACCGGGGCGGGGTTGTCTCATTGCAGCTTCCCACTCCAAGACTGCGGAGAAGGGAGGGGGGAATGCCTGCGAAGTCCTGCCGTTCTGCATTTGCCTTGTCTACTCGCTTAATGCGGATTATATCGAACCCCAGATCAATGGGTACAATCAGAGCGGAATGCTTCCACGCCTTGCCAAGGGGGAAGTCTAATCTGCGTTAAGCGATGGGGAGGGTAGAAGCTGGCGGCCACAGCAATTTGTCTGAGTAAACGAATGGCAGAGTGGAAGATGGTGATTTGAGTATATGTGAACCGAAGATGGAAATTGAAGTAGATCTCAGCGAGGACTAGCGGACTAAAGTGTTCCACTGTAATCTCTAGTTTAAGTATATCCTGGTTACCAAACCCCGCTTACTACGATTATTCTTGCTCTATCTCTGTATTTTGATTTTGGATGAGAGATTTGGGGGAAAGGCAGTGTGTTGGCTGAGAGCAAAGCATAAGTGAGCGCGGGCGACCTCCTTTGGATTTTGGCATCCCTTGTCACCTGTCCATCTCTATTTGGTTTAGCCCTGGTGCTTGGGGGCGCCTTCCTGCTTCCCATCAAATAAGCTGGAGATCTGACCAGCTGTTCCCATACATTTCTGTTGGGTTTGAGTAATGGATCCTAAATATATTAAACTTGGGAGCAAGCCCAATGGACTTGAAAGGAAGTTATTATATGCCTAGACTCTTGTGTGTTTGCTGAGAAATAAAGCCAAGTGTATACACCAACAAGCTTTATTCAGAAGCTAGGCTGCTTTTCCAAACACATTTCTTGGGAAGTAAATCTTGTTGAGTAAGGTGTCCCAGGAAGAATTGGGGTTGCGGCCGTACTGGAAACAGACCCATAGCTTAACCACAGACAACCAGCTCTCTTGAGTCATGGAGCCACAATCGCTCTTTAGTACGATTGTGTTTATAGATCAACTTCATTTACTGAGGTGGGGAAGAGGAGTCATTTGCATCTTTCGCCTTCCTGGAACACTTAACTTTCAAGTTGAGACTGCAACTTGCTGTGGAAGCATCTTTCCTTTCTCCGCCGAAAATGACCATGTGAAAGGAAGACACAAAGACGCGTGTGATTGGGGCAAAGGATCCGGGCTCTCTCCTCCCCCCCCCCACCCACTCCCCGCACTCTGAGCACAGGGCATGTGCAAGGAGGGGACTCTTAGAAGCCGCTTCTCCCCAAGTTTATAAGGCGCTTTCAAGAAGGAAAAAAAACAGCAGGGAAAGATTTATTCCAAAATGAAAAAGCAAAGGAAGGCATTTCCCTTCGTGCCCAGCCTTTCCTGGTGAAAATAAATAATATATATTTTTAAAAAAACTAGTCGCTTAAAGACAAGATTCCGCAAAGCACCAATCGCAGCGCCGAATAAATTCCAGATTCATTTCCATCACTGCCGAGAGGAGCGCAGTTTTTCAGGGGGAGAAAGAAAGAAGGGGAGGAGAAAAAGGGGGGGGAGGGGGGAGAGAGATTGAAGAGAATGCAAGAATGTTGGAAGAATGGCCCGCCGTTTCCCTTCTTAATAACAATCTCTGGATTATCCTTTTAACCAGGTCCTGGGCAAGGCAGGTTTCTCCCATGGATTAAAGTCTAGGCCCGGTCATCTCCCCGTTTTCCGCCTGTCTGAGCTCCACAAGTGCTCTACAAGCCCGTCCGGTCTCTCCTCAGACTCCTTTGCTGACTCCTAAAATGAGAGAAAAAGCGAATGAGATCTCTCCCAAAGTTTCCGCAGCAATTTTGGACTCTTTTTTTTCCCTCAGTGGAAAAGAGAACCCTTAAGTATACCCATACCCAGGGCTATTCGCAATTTATAGAGTATACAATTTATAGAGTTTGCCCACGCTTTTAAAAAAATTGCCTGCGCCAGCGCCTCTTCTCTGGCCTTGCCCTTGAGGTAGATGCAGCCTTGGCGAAATCAGCCCCGTAGCCGGGAGAACCAGGCACACCACACCGTGGGTTTTTAAAGAGCTTCGGGGCCGCCGCTGCGATTTTACAGGCACATGCCTGCCTGTACGTCAATTCCGCCCAAGGGTTTGGAGAATTGCGTAGGCCCACATGAGGTTGAGCCGCGGCCTAAAGTTTCGCAGAGAGGAAACGCCTTTCTTTAAGCGGGACGCAACTTTAGCGAATAGGAGACTAGGTATTTCCTGAAGGCAGAGAAAAGAAAAAGGGTTTTTTGAACAGCCACGGGAAGCCACAACTGACTATCCCAATAATAGAATTTAGTCAAATGTGACTTAAAGGTCAAGAAACAGAAAGAGAGTAGGCAAAACTGATGGAGAACCAACAAAAGGGTTTTTTTTTTCCCTGTCCAAGATTTGATTTATATTTATCTGACCTTGTGGACATTGAAGAGATAGTGCTGATTTTACCCAATCCCCAACCTCTTTGCCTGTGTAGTGATTGGTGATAAAGGGTGGATTGACTGATCTTTATCCAATGGAGCCAAACTCCTATAATCAAAGCCAGCCCTACTAATCACTTAGGAGCAGGTTAAACTTAAAACAGCAGATCTTGGGCCCTTGGGGGGTGTCTAATTTCCCTTGAGAGGTGGTGCCACTGTGGGAAGAAACTTGGAATGCTTGGCGTTCATTATTGGCTGAGATTCTTAAAAGTTAGCTTTATTATAGGAATCCTTGCTCATCCCCTTCACCTGTGTGCAGGTATATATGCAGTGGTGGGATTCAGCCAGTTCGCACCACTTCGGGAGAACCGGTTGTTAACTTTCTGAGCAGTTTGGCAAACTGGTTGTTGGAAGAAATCATTAGGGCAGAGAACCGGTTGTTAAATTACTTGAATCCCACCACTGTATATGTGAGTGTGTTTGTGTGTGTTTGTGTATTTCCCATCTTCAGAATCAGATGCAATTAAATGTCCTAAGACCACAAGAAAGAGTTCAGAATTAAATCCAGAATTTGTTGTTAGTTGCGAAGTTGTGTCCGACCCATCGCGACCCCATGGACAACTTTCCTCCAGGTCTTCCTGTCCTCTACCATCCCCCGGAGACCATTTAAACTCAAAATCCAGAATATTCTTAGCTAAATGTCAGAGACGATGCTAATGGAAGCTCAAAGTGAGCATTTGAATGTTCCAACACCAATTTATAAAGTTGGAAAGGCGGAACATGCTAATAATGAGTTCTGGGAGTGGCTGGATGTCAGCAGCCTCCAAAGATGGCTGGCCTCTGGTTTGAAGAACCAGAATTCTTGGCCAAGGGATGTTGCCTTTTTGTTCTGATTGATGTAGGTCTCTTCTTGAATCCTGTGAATTCATTCAAATCCTCTTTCCCTCCTGTGATTTTATATTTCAGTTGAAGGATAATGTGCTTTTGAAGTCCTTAAAGTTGTCAAAACACTCAACTATGCAACTGAACATCCACTGAAGGATTGCAAATTATCCACCCTTGGGTTCATTTAAAGTTGGCAACTAAGGTGGACTGGGTTAGCCCCACCCTTAAGAAAAAAAATGGCCCTCTTTTAGCCACAGTACATAGGGTGGCTTTAGAATAGCCTTCAATTTCTTTCATCAGCCAAGAAACCCATCATTTGAGGAGCAGACAGGGAAATAATTGATAATACTGTTAGTATAGAAGTCATATGGATTTATTTTTTCTTTTGCTGTTTTTATATAGCTCTCCTAAAAAAAAAGTTCTTGGGCGGTTTACAAATATGAATATAAGATGCCAGCATACCTCTGATTAACAGATGGTGCTGAACATCAGGAGAATGCAATTGCCACTGAACCTTCTTTGTAACGTTTTTCATTGGCATCTGCAGTAGAGAAAGAATGCTGGACACAATGGACTTTGAGCAGCTCTGATATTTATGGCTTGGTTTAGAATATTTATAGCTTCTCTTAGTTGTAGAAATCTATCAAGCGGATATAAAAATATAAAATGTAAAATGTTAGCAGGGAAATACAAAATATTTTTTTTTCATTCGCGTACAGTACCACTAGGACTATTTGTATTATGTCTCTGTGCATGACATTGAGAAAGAAACATCAGATTCTTAAATTCAAGATGTTTCCCTTGTAGGGTCATTTGTCCAACTAGTGACTTATTGTGAATTGCTTAGTTATCCAGCCATCGTTCTGCTAAAGTAACAGTAATGAGGACAGGTTTTATATCATTTCAATGATGGCTGGATAAAGCTATGAATACACTATGAGTTGCTACTAAGGAAATGGGATAAATCTTGACAAGAGAAAAAGATTCAAAACAGCAAGGGTTAAATGTAAGCAATTTCCATTAGATACTGAGTGCTAGTTACAGTTAACGTTCTTCATTCGGGGCGTGATAAACATACACACAAAAACCATATAAGAAATAGCAGGAGGTTCTGCTCTATTAAGTTGCAGCCACAAGAATTTATATTGTCATCGCTTAAAAACTGGATGAGCTGGTGCTCCCAGCCAAGTGTAAATAGTCCATTCCTTTTTTTCTTTTTTTTTCTTCCCATGGAATTCAAGCAATAAAAGGCAGAAGAACACACAGGCTGGATTCCCACCAGGTGTTTGATTATCTTGGATGGGTAGTTTGTGGCTGAATATATTATAGCAAACTCAGACACTGCCTTTGCATGTTGTGTGAACCAGATCCCCATGTGAAGACATAAAATGGTGACTTTTATGTTTGGGTACAGCATCTTATGTGAACCCAGCAATTGTGTTTGGTTAACCCTAGATAGGGTTTCAAAGCTTCAAGTTCAAATGGAAAGAAAACTGGGTAGGGTTAATTGTGTTGTGTAGACATGACCATACTGTTGAGAAGGAGGGCAGAGACCTATGGACCACACCCTAGATTCTCAGTTTAACTGTAGATAGAGGAGAATTATCATGGACACTTCTCCCTTCTTTCTGTCAGTACCTTGAAATTATTATTATTATTATTATTATTATTATTATTATTATTATTATTCATTAATAATATAATATATGCCTCATTGTCTAATTTTTACTAACATATTTTCCTGGAATTTTTTTTAATACACAGATGTCATGGATACATATTTGTTTTAATATTGACTGGATGGAATGATGCAGCATTTTAAAATATGCAAGGAAGAAAAAGTCAGTGGTAACCAGTTGTGGCAGCCTATATAGAGGACTAGGTTAAATAAATTAGCTTCTTTTCTTTTCTTTTCAGATCCAGGTATCTGGATGTGAATAATTACCTGAATTGCGCTTCTCTCGTAATTTCAAAGAGATCCTTTAGCTCTGCTTCCTTTCATTGTTGCCTAAATTTGTGTAGTCAGTTCAAAGCCTTCTCTTCTCTAAAATATCTTTGAAAAGAGTAATGATGATCTTGGAAAAAAGTCGCCCCCTCTCTTTTTTCTTGCCCATCAGAAAGTGTGAACTAGCAAAGCAGATCTCTTTTTATGTTTCTGAAGAGAAACATCTTTCTGTTTTGTATTCCATTATGACTGCAATACGGTTTCCTTTTTCCTTTTCTGTGATCTTAATGTTCCTTCTTCAATGACTTGATTAAAGAACTCTACTTTTTTAAAAAAAATCCATTTTGCATTTTAAAAAATGCCACCTTCTTAATGTTGGCAATTTTAATCCAAACTACATTATACCAGGTAATCTTACATATATGTCTAGCCAGTTGCCAAAATAAGCCTTGTTAAGTGCAATAGGACTTACACTCAGGATTACGCTTTGTTTAAACCATTCGGTCAACAATAGTCCCCAAGACTTGCACGAATGAAAAAACTAAAGAAAATTCCAGGCAGTTTTGAAAAATTTAAAACAAATTTCGATGTGATCAAATCTGTAGAACATACCAGAAAGGTTCTCTTTGATTCAAATTCTTTCCTCTGTGACATGGTTGTCAATCTTATGGGTTTATGGACTTTTGGGGCTATTGGTGTCTTAAGTTTGGTTAAACATTGCTTTCAACCTGTATTTCTGGCTATGACTTTCTTTTTAGTTTGGTTATCCACTGGGATTTTAAAAACTGCTCCAGTAGAGCCATAATGATGATGATGATTATCGTTATGATATAATGATAACGTCCGATGCATTTCAATATCTTTAAACACAATTATTGTCAAAATTAACATTTTGATGACGCTGGGTTTCTTTCTTCTTCTTCTGGCATTTTGTTTTACATGAACAGACATGTATGCTTTGCTCAGAAATGTAGAGTATTCAGAACTGCTTCATGTTGCAAAGGTAGCAACTAGTACAGGTAGTCCTTGACTTACGAATTGAGCCCAAAATTTCCATTGTTAAGTGAGACATTTGTTAAATGAGCTTTGTCCCATTTTATGACCTTTTTTGTCACAGTTGTTAAGTGAAT